TGAATGCTTTATGTGGTTAATTTCATCTATGTAGTCCGTTGAACACAGTATTGTGGCTGTATTTATGAGGTTTTTAACTGTCTTGATTTTTTGTGTGGTGTCATGAGCGGAATTCCAGGTGATGTAGAGGCCAGTGTGTGTGTTCTTGCGGTTTTAAACTATGTGTCCGATCTAATAATTTTGAGGTTAAGATAAGATAATTTTTTATTGTTTTCGTGTTCTATGGTAAATTTGATGTTGGGATGAATGGAGTTTATGTGTTCAAAGAAAGTTAGTGTGTGTTTTGTAGAAGTGAAACCAGCAAAAGTGTCATCGACATATCTGTACCAGTATAGTGGCGGATGAAGCGCAGAATGTATGGCTTGTGTTTCGATCTGGGTCATAAATATATTGGCAAGAACGGGCGAAACAGGATTGCCCATACTTGAACCATGTATTTGAAGGAAATGTTCGTTGTTGAAAATGAAGTTGGTTTTAGTTGTTGTAAATTCTAAGAGAGAAGCAAAAAGTGTGCTAGGGATGCGCATTAACATGTTGGAGTCATTAATGTACAAGAGGTCGAGTTTCAATATTGCAAGCTTTATTGGCGGGGACTGTAAAGTGATGTATTAGTATAGAATCACAAGGTCGCGAAAGTGCTCTCTGCGGATATAGATTTAACAGGGTTGAATTTCACGGTTTGTTCTTGTTCGTTATGGAAGTACTTATTCAGTTGGTAGACATATTTACAAAGCTTTGGCGGAACACGTTTCATTGTAAAGTAATTCGCACTATAACTGAGTGAAATGGCCTTGGATGTTGAAGATTTTTTCGATTCATAATTTTACATTTGGTAAACATGTCCTGAAGTACTGCAAAAAAAGGAAATATGTTTAAAAATTGAAATACCTCGACTTTATTGCTACTATTGCTCTGTCTATTAAGAAACTACTAAACGAAGTGGTTTCCAAAACATATCTCTTTTAGATGGCAAATGCCATGTTGAGGAGTTTGTTATCTTTCGTTTGATACATAAATCACTTTAGTTATTTAAGTTTTTTATCCTTGTAGTAATATTACGATAAAGATAATTTAATAATGATGATGATGTCGTAATAATTATGTAATAATAACGATGTGAATATCTTCAACAACTTATGATTTTGAACAGAGTATTTTTTCTTTTCGAAACTAACTAGGATAAATCATTTTTGGTGTTTACATATATGGATAATTATAATTTGTTTTGGTGTTTACATATATGGATAATTATAATTTGTTTTGGTGTTTACATATATGGATAAATATAACTTGTTTGGTGTTTACATATATGGATAATTATAAGTTGTTTTGTTATTTACATAAATGGATAATTATAATTTGTTTTGGTGATTACATATATGGATAATTATAAGTTGTTTTGGTGTTTACATATATGGATAATTATAATTTGTTTTGGTGTTTACATATATGGATAATTATAAGTTGTTTTGGTGTTTACATAAATGGATAATTATATTTTGTTTTCGTGTTTACATTATTAATACTCTATCAATTCTATCTTACTCAAACTAGATTCGAGGTGAATATCATAATTTTATTTGACAAATAGAAAAAGACACTGGAAATAGCCGAAATGCAGAAGAAAAAGAAAAGGCTCTTATTTATCATACATAAAAAGTCGATTATTTTAATTAAAACAGGAAGTTCTAGTCTGCCAGAGTTTTGACTTTTAAAAAAATCAAATATCAATATCAAGCCACTTGTCTAGTGAATACTCACAATATCAAGCCACTTGTCTAGTGAATACTCACAATATCAAGCCATTTCTCTAATGAATACTCGCAATATCAAGCCACTTGCCTAGTGAATACTCACAATATCAAGCCACTTGTCTATGAATACTCACAATATCAAACCACTTCTCTAATGAATACTCACAATATCAAGCCACTTCTCTAATGAATACTCACAATATCAAGCCACTTTTCTAATGAATACTCACAATATCAAGCCACTTCTCTAATGAATACTCACAATATCAAGCCACTTTTCTAATGAATACTCACAATATCAAGCCACTTTTCTAATGAATACTCACAATATCAAGCCACTTCTCTAGTGAATACTCACAATATCAAGCTACTTCTCTAATGAATACTCACAATATCAAGCCACTTCTCTAATGAATACTCACAATATCAAGCCACTTCTCTAATGAATACTCACTTCATGAAATATTTTTAGTAGCACTTCTCAGAATCCACTTGAGTTTCTCATTCACATTCTGAATTATGATATAATTAGGAAAAATACAGACTTTAGAAAATATTACATTTTTTACGGTGTAACTACAGAACAAATCATTAAATGTGTAAATTTGCCAAAGTATATACATTATTTCAATTTTCGTACCACTTGAGGATCAGAGTTTTAGATCTTTTTTTTTGTATTTCTCATTTTTGTTAATGAATGTTTTAATCAAAAGTATTTCTCACAGCTTTCTAACAATTTAAAGAAATAAATACTAGATATTTGATCATGTAGATTGTAAAAAGCTGCTAAAATTTTATTTTAATTATTACTGAATTTACTCAGAATATTAAACATTGTAAATGTGTATTTTAGTTACGATCCGATACTGACAATCATATCCAGAGCTTCTGTTTGGCTGACTTACAATTAACATCAATTAAATAACTGTTTATTTCAGTCTATTGTAAATTGATACTTTCTGTTTATTGTTTCTGGTTGAAATAAATGCTTGAATATCATTGGTTGATCGATATTTATCGAAAACTAAAGAAAAGAAAACGATTCTACTAACATCTACCATCGCATTACCTGTTTGACTAGTTTGTCCTCATGACAAGCTTCTTAAATTTGAAGAGTTGTGAGAGCAATGAATGTAAAACAGTTTAAACACTTCTTTCGGATATATTTAGTTAATACATTTAATACTTACGAAGGTTGATTAGAGGTATAAAAATACAAATAAGTTAACGAGACAGGTAGAACGTTTTCAGTGTCTAAACAGTTAGGTATTTTGTTCCTCGAAATGAACGATTCATCAACAATTTGGTCATTTTTGTACAAGAAGTCAACAATTCTCCTATTTTAATGGTTGGAAATCTTATATTTATTTTATTTTTTGCCCTTCCTTCCTCTTCAGTATTCATTGCTGACGTATTACTTCCTCGGGTGAACACCGAACAGCCGAACATCTGGTCGGAAAAAAGACGCTGGCAGCATGAAGAACCATTAAAAAGGATTTTTAGCAGTCTAAAAGGCAGAACTCAGACTCAGCCATCGTTCTATGATGCCTCCATCAGAAATGTGACAACGCAAGTTGGGCAGACCGTGTTCATGCATTGTTTTTTCGAAGCATTTGGAGACAAAACGGTAGTGTTTAAACTTTAGTATATTCATTATGATTTAGTATGAAATACCAATATTTTTAAGTTTCTCACTTGAAGCACAAAAACACATTCCAACACTAATTCTAATACATTCAAACAATAGTTCTAACAATTTTACAATAATTCTAATACATTCAAACAATAATTTTAACACATTCAAACAATAATTTAAAAGCAGTCAAACAATAATTATAATACATTCAAAAATAATTTTAACACATTCAAACAATAGTTCTAACACATTCTAACAATAATTATAACACAATCAAACAATAATTATAATACATTCAAAAATAATTTTAACACATTCAAACAATAGTTCTAACACATTCTAACATTAATTCTAACACATTCAAAGAATAATTCTAATACATTCAAACAACAATTTTAACACATTCAACAATAATTCTAACACATTCTAACACCAATTCTAACATATTCTAACACTTATTATAATACCTTTGCTAGTGCCTTAACATGACCTTCTTATCAAATTAGCAACAAAACAAAAACTCGTTGACATTTTTCTTTTTCTATTTAATATTTGATAAATTAAAATGTAAAAAATAGTGGAAATATTTGGATAATTTGAGTTTCGCATTACTCAAACACTAAGTGTAAAACTGTCTTGTTTATATTCTATATTCTTGTGATCCCAAATAAGGAAATCAACGTCTCTTGTATGAGGAAAAAAAGAACTAACTTGATAAAAGTCATTCCAGACTGCAGACTGGATAATTTGAGTTTCGCATTACTCATACACTAAGTGTAAAACTGTCTTGTTTATATTCTATATTCTTGTGATCCCAAATAAGGAAATCAACGTCTCTTGTATGAGGAAAAAAAGAACTAACTTGATAAAAGTCATTCCAGACTGCAGACTGGATAATTAGTAACCTGAACAAACTGATCAAGCTCAACAGCGTTACAGTAATAAGTTTAAACTCGATTATCAGAAAATGCAATAACTGAAGATTTAGCGTTAGCTATAGATGGCTAACGTGGGAGATGTGAAAGTTCTGCCTTTGTTTGAGACCTAACAATTGCATCTTACGTAAAAAGGATGTCAGTTCGAGGAATAAAAAGAAAAGTGAATGTAGAAACAAAAATGGCTAGAGACGTAGATATATATATATATATATATACGATAAAAGATAAATAACACATATACACAACATATATATATATATATATCATATTCTACAATCGATTGGCAATTCAAGTAAAAATAACTTAAGAATAAGACTATCAGTCACCATTGTAATATCTTTATATATTTTGAAGAAATAATGGGTATCGAAATTCATCCTCACAACGCGAGAAAACCGTGGATATGGTGAACAGCTTAGAATAAATGGAGATTTTAAACCGAAACTACAGAGACTATAAATTTCATTGCACGGTTTAACAGTAGGCACACTGGTAACAAGTACAGCTTATACAGTGAAGTTTATTTACTGTGAAATATTTATTTTAAAAAAACAGACTAAAGTAATGACAGTATCTCCTGTATTATTGTTTTTGGTCACGTTTCAATATTTACACTGGAAGTTCTATTTTTTTTTCTGGCATGCTGGTTAATAGTACAATATATGTATATATTATCAGGAATATTCTTATTTAAATTTGTTGAGCAACCAGAATGACGTTGACGCGTTTGTTAGGAAACTGGACGTCCTTATTTTTCTGACGATTCGTGATATTCTTAGGTAAAGTGATAACCTTCTCGGGTAATAACAAAAGGAACTGTAGAAGATAGTAATTCTGAATTCCTGGTTTTACAAAAAAGACTTGACACGGAGTGGAAAATAGTATTTACTTCCAATAACAAGACTCCAATGACAAATATACACAATTTCAATTATGTCACTGTCTAGTGAAATTAACGATATATAGCATATATATAACAACATTTATAATATACATTTTTACAAACAAAAACCTTAAACTGGTTCCTCAACAAACGAATTCTTGTTACTCCTACCTAGAACAGAAGATTCTTAATTATTTACAAATTTAATATTATTGTTAGCTCATATTTTAGAATTCCTTTAAGCAGTGTGGTTACAGATTACCTTAAGGTGTTATTATTATTATTAGGTGTTATACATTATTTATCCTTTTAAATATTTTAGTTTGTCTATATGGTTTTGATGACAGCTAATTATCAACTTTAAAACTTTAATTTCTGGCATCCTTTTCTCTTGTTTTCGTCTCTCGCATGACGTGTCAAAGTAATGTTGGGTTTCCAGGATGAGACTCTGAAAATCGTAAACTCATTTCACCCTAAAATTAACTTTACACACTTCAGATTAAACAAACTTGATGACAGTAACGACGTACAAACTTCAAACGGCTTTTGATAACACGTGCAACATTGTTAAGAACAAAAACATCATGAAAATGAGCAACAAATTAACTTTTTTTTATTTCTATTGTTATTTTTATACTGAAAATTAAAGCAAAACTAGTGTATCATGATATCAAACCAAGTGATTTCTTGTTCTAGGATTTGTTTGTTTGTAGTTAAGCACAAAGCTACACAATGGGCTATCTGTGCTCTTTCCACCACGGGTATCGAAACCCGGTTTCTAGCGTAGTAAGTCCGCAGACATACTGCTGTGCCACTGGGGACAACCTGTAAAGAAAGAACTACCTTTATTTTCACTTGCTTTTATTAATGTAAAGATTGACTCACAGAACGCATTAAACCTGAGCATTTATATTTTTAGCCATTAAATGTGCAAAAAAAATTTGCTGTTTCAATGTGGATCACTTTTAACAGATTTCTTTCTGATCAGGGCCCGGTGGTTAGGACATACGACTCGCAACCTGTGGATCACAGGTTCGAATCCCATCAACGATCATGCTCGCCCTTTCAGCTGTTTGACCATTATAATATGACCGTTAATCTCACTATTCGTTGGTAAAAAGAGTAACCCAAGAGTTGGCGGTGGGTGTTTTGACTAGCTGTCTTCCCTTCATTCTTTTACTTCAAATTAGGGACGACTATCGCAGGTGGTGAGGGCGCTCGACTCGTAATCTGAGGGTCGTGGGTTCGAATCCCCGTCACACCAAACATGCCTGGTCCAAAGTCCAGGATGAGAAAAGAGGAGGGTTGGGCGCGGGGCTAGCAACTCCACCCCGTAAAAACCAACCTGCTACAAGTAACTGCAACAACACCTTCCGTTGGCGAGGTGCTGTTGCGGTCTACTGGGAGTTTACAGGAATAAAAAAAAAGATTTCTCTCTGAGAGTGAGTAACAAATCTATAAAGGTATTCGTACAACTCTACCGGATACTATTTTTTGTTGTTATTTATGATGTACATGTTTTCCTTTGGAAAAGTTTTCCTTCTTGTATAATACAATTTATACATCAAATTCAGAATCTGTCATCGTTATTGCTTATGTTAACTTATTTATGTGTCACTTGTGTGTCAAAAACTGTTTGTTTGCAATTAAGCACCAAGCTACACAATGGGCTACCTGTGCTCTGCCCACCACGGGTATCGAAACATGGTTTCTAGAGTGCCACTGGGGGGGGGGCTGTCAAAAATAAGGAAATATTGATAATTATCTGTTCTAGCGTTTCTGTAGTGGTGACAGTTATACATTTAATAGCATATAAAGAGTAGCATAACACAATCTGAGGGTATTGTTCATGAGTTGACAGTATATATGTATAGGAATGTGAGGAATATCTAACATTAACGTTAATAATTTATACTGAATTATTCAGCAAACTAACTGGTAAAGATAACGTTTTCGTTTCATCACCAGAATTATAAATTTCAGAAAGAAACTTTAGTAACAGCTGAGGGGTGGAATTCATCGAAATTAATCCAACTGGCAAATCAAATGAAAGAATGAACTTTATGTGAAGAGACAAAAAATTAGTATCTAAAACAATATATATAAGCTTATTATGACATGTAAGAACAACTCTGTTGTCATACGTATAAATTATAGGCCACTCTCATAAAACATGCCTAGTCTTGTTTTTCAATATGTTTTTGTCCAGACGTGGCCAGGTGGTTAGGGGGCTTGACTCGCAATCTGAAAGTCGCGAGTTCGAATCTCCGTCCCAACAAAGACGCTCGCCATTTCCGCCGTGGGCCGTGGGGTCTTTATAATGTGACGGTCAATTCCACTATTCGTTGGTAAAAGAGTAGCCCAAGAGTTGGCGGTGGGTGGTGATGACTAGCTGTCTTCCCTCTAGTCTTTCACTACTAAATTAGGGACGGCTAGCGCAGATAGCCCTGGTGTAGCTTTGCGCGAAATTCAAAACAAACCAAACAAACAAATCAGTCCATTATATTTTAGATTTTTTGCAAGCAATC